GAAAGAATAAAAGCCAACAAAAAAAAAATTAATAAAACAAAAAATAAAAAAAGCCTTTACCCACGAGACTGAGCAAATAGACAATTCATAAGCTAGCCTGGGCACTACTAATAGTGCAACTGTGGCAGTACAGAATGAAAAACTCACCTAAAAAAAACCCAAAACCCAACAACTTTTTTATACCAAGACGGTTATTTCACACCAAGTTACACTATGTGGTAGCTACACTGGTATTCATATCCAAGTTAATTAATATGTAATAGCTAAGTAAGTCTACATGTGACTGCAGTCTAGACAGACTTCCAGACAAAATCTAAATCTCTCTTTCAGACCGATTCAAACCTTGAGTCCTTCACAAGCTCCAGTCTCCAGCCCAAATACAAACTGGTCCTTATTTTGAGGGCCCTTCATAAGTTATTTTCTCCCATTTTATCCAGCCTTTAAGCCCTCATTGTCATGTTCATTTTTTACTGAAAATGCAATGGCTGTCTCCATATTATCCACTTGCCTGCTTCTTTCATAGGCACTTTGGTATCTACTTTCATACTGCAGCTTAACCACACAAAACCTTCCTCCAATTTGCAAAGCCACTTCAGAAGTCTTGCAAGACAAATTCCCACCATTAAACATGCTAAACTGCCCAGCAGTGCCTAGGCCAGTGACCTATTCATTATCATCTTGTCCTTTTAAACCAGTGATCCTCAACCAAGGTTCCCTCAGATCCTTTGAACGATGCTGCAAGATGTGAGGAGATAAGCAGATGAATTAAACACCAAGCACAGAGTCAAGCTTGCCTCTGCCTGGATGATTCCCCACCCTCACTGCCCAGCCTTTCTGCAAGGAAGTAAGACCTGTAATATATAAATTAGTTTTGGAAATTGGGTGTCACTCAATTCAAAAAAGTTACGGAGGGGTGTCTTAAGTCGAATGAAGAGTGCCTCAAATACAGTGAGTGATGCCTCAATTCAAAAAAGGTCACAAACCACTGATTGAAACAAAGCAGCATAAAACCTTATTTTAACCTGAATAATGTATGTAAACTTGTGTTCCTGATAATCAGCTCTTATCTTACCCAGGTCCTACTTTATTCTGTTCTACATTCACTTGTCAGATCTTGTCTTTATTTTGATTGTAAACTTCTGGGGGCAGGATCTCTCATCTTAAGCGTATACAGCACTTACAAAATGGGAACCAGCCCACCAAAAATGGGAACCAGCCTAAACCAAGCAGACCTCTTGGCGCCACTAAACAACCACTAAGAGAGATCAATAGTAATTAAAGCAAAACACAAGGGCTGATATTTTCTAAAGTACCCTTACACGTAAGTAAATGAACTGGCATTTAATCAGGCTCTTAAGTGGAAAAAATCATGCATTTTTCAGAAGTGTAACTGAAGTGGACATAAGGAAAATCTGCATAATGGTGTTGGTAAGACCACTATGTGCACAGAGTAGTTAAAACAGAACACCTAACACAATGTAAATCATATCTAAACAGATATGAACAGGTCCAGATGTCTCCCTGGTACCAACCCAGTGCTGGAAAGGCTGCCAATGGATTATCTCAGATGCCACCTACCCCTAAGTAAAAAAAATATAGTGCAAGAAAGAACCGTAACTGTTTGATGCAAAAGTAACTTTTACCTAAATTATGAGGATACATAAAAAGGTATGTTAAAAAGAAAGTTAGACAAGATGAAAAGGACAGTGCTCACTCTGTGCTTAGTTGGCTGCTTGGGCCAGGTTCCTGACAGTCTAGGAAGGTTCTCCTACTAGCTGGATGCCTATACACACACACACAGATACTTCTGGAATGAGAAGAAATATTGGAGCCAGAACCAGTGCAGAGATAAACCGCCATACTATACAGCTGGTCCTGATGTCACTTTATTTTGTTTTATTAAAAGGATATGCTAAGATTGGGGAGGTTCCATGCACTTTTCCCACAGGGGACACAACACTGCTCCAGTAGGATAATATGGAAAAAGCCCTAAAAATAATAACAACAACAAATCCTCCCTTATAGCATTATCCTGTTTCTGAACAAAATACTTTATTATAGGGTTCTACCTTTTGAAAAAAATCAATTCTATTTGAAAATATAGTAGAGAAAATTAAGTAAAACTTGAATTTGTTTGTTTAGAGGAAGAGAGAAGGGGCAAGAATGTTTGATACATCCAAAATGACAGAACATCTGAATATATGATGCTAGTGTTTGGGATACTGTTCTCCTTTCAGTTTCAATGTCTAACAAGTGTAACAAAGGCATCAGTGAGGATTTCTAAATGATATCTTTATATAAAGGTATCATATATACTGTACACAAAAATTCATTATAGGTTTCAGCTTTACCTCTGTTAAGCCAATGATAATGTAAAGTCATTGCCAATTGTTAAAATTTTCAATTACGTCATTTAAAAGTAATTTTAAAAAGTCAGTTCTACTTTAAAATAATATACTAATCTTTAAAACAAAATTATTCTACGGATGGTCTCTCTCATGTGCAAATTAGTTCTTTTCTAAAACTACTTAAGTGGAAATTAAGGCCTGCTTTAATCAGGACCATAAATTGAGATTATATCCTGTGAATTTTGTTAAATTGATCCATTAAAAGAAACTACTAATCTGTACTGCCCTAAAAGTCTACAAAGAAACTAATTATCCATGTTAAAAAAAATATATACTTAAGTAGCATATGGCACTACAAGTACTATACAAAAGGTTATCCTCTTTATTATGAGTCACTCATAAAGGATGAACTCATAAGCCACTGAAGTGGTTTCTATTCACTCTGTGAAATATATAAGGATAGGCATAGCTGGAGACCATGTTAATTTGCAAGGGAAACCCTCCTTAATTCTCTGAAACCATTTAACTTCTATGCCAACTTTAAGCAACTAAGAATGTGTTTCTCATCCTACATGTTAATACTAACTTTCTCTCTTCTTTCCCAAGGTTTTCTATTTTCAGTTTCAAAGTCTCTGCAGAAGGCAGATGATGACGACATGCTACTAAACACCTTCACTCTAGGAAAATCGCTGCGGAATGGAGATAAAACAGAGAAAACACGGGGTACACCTTCTCTTGAGCACTATAAGATGGAAGATGCTAGTTTTCAGGATGAAGGGGAAGACAGAAACCCAAAGTTCTTTGTGAGTTTCCATTTCTTAATCAACTCCAAAATGTAAATAAAGACTCATTTTAAGAGATAAATACTTTTCACTTATAAAGGATGCTTTGGCGGATAATTGCAATTACTCATTTCTGCAACTTAGTGTATGTTCATAGGCTAATTTTTAATTGCATGCATCTAATATTAGGCATACTAATCTGTATTTGGGTAACAAAAGGTAACTTATTCTAAAAAGATATGTAGGTGATCAGGACTATGTGTATGTCAGGGAATGGAATTCAGCTTACTTTATGTAGTTTCTCTTTTTCTTTCTTTTTTATTTTTTAATAATGCTTTTTTTGGTCTCAGCCAGTTGGTATATATGAAGGAGGTTTACAACCATAATAAACAATTAGGTTGATTATACATATTCTTTTAACTTGCTTTTTAAAATACAACAGTATTCAATTAACATCTATTGTATGATGATGTTTACTTTTTAAAGATCATCTTCAGTTGCACTACTTACTTTCTTGATGAAGACGAAGCACAATGGTAACAGTCTTTAAAATTTTAATCAGTCCTTTTAAAATCCAGAATATAGGTTCCAAACATAATTTCATAAGCCACAGTCTGCCGCTGAACCTGGCTATAAAACAGCTACCTTATCTTGCCCTGAAGGGTTCAGTAGCTTTTCCAGCTGACACCGAAATAAAGAATACTGAATCAATACAGGAAAGGAGAGAGGTTGGTGATGAGGAAAATTCTGCTAAGTTTCCTATAGGAAGGAGAGATTTTGACAGTAAGTATACTTGCACTTTGCCTTTGACATAATGCAGTATATGTTTAGTTGAATAAGATTATACTTGCAAATGTTTGAAAAAGGAAATTTGGAAATTATGTGCCAGTGTTTATCAATGTACAATGTGTTAATAGAATATAATGAAATTAAATATTTAGTTGGACTATTTCAGGTATATTTATTTGGTAAAAATTAATGGTCTTGCTAGATGTCACTATAATACATCCTAATTTTTACAATTTAAACTTTTGGAGGTTTTTTTTCTTTTTCAGTACTCAGGTGTATGTTGGGAAGAGTCTATCGACCTTGTTGGCAAGTCTGAAAATTGCTGGCCAGCCTCACCTTCCTTGAAGAAGATTAAATTATTTGGTTGCCAGTTTAATGAAACTTGAAGTTATTGTGTTTTGGTATTGTTATACACTTAAATCTAAGTACTACTCTCTGTATTTCAAGGTGAGGGAAACTTTATCAATCATCATTAAGTAACCTAGTTGAAAAATTATGCGGTATCATTATTAAAACAGAAAATTCTGCATAATTCAGATTTGTAGATATATTTGTCTAACAGTATACATATGCTATTCACATTACCATACACAATGAAGTCAAGGTATTTGTGCATCTGTTGTCTTGTTCTTGCAAAACTAACCATGTTTGTTATGTAATAGTAAAACAATTATATATGTCAAAATAAAAATAAGATTCATAATCTAAAAAAATGTGTTAATTTTGCCTGACCAGCAATCAATTTAGTCTTGGCAGTAGTTTTGTTGCTTTTTCCTGCTCTATCCAATTTGCTGTCCAATTTCTTCTGAGGGTTGTTTGAAGTCTTAGGTCTCTTAATATTTGTATCCTGAGATGGTTCATTGTCATTATTACAGATGACTTCTTTATTCAGCTCCACCTGTTTCCTCTTTGTGCTCTTGTTTCTTAGCTGACAGCTCAGCTTTGCATCTTCTTTTTTACTTTTACTTCCATTCTGGTGAATATTTTCAGATTTAGTTCCAAATGCTTGTCTTTCAAAATCTGAATTCATACCTTCAGCCATATAGGAGAATAAACATATTTAAGGAAAGGAAAAAAAGTTAATTTTGATAGTCTTGTGATTAAAATGACATAAGCCATGAATGTTTAATAATATATAAATAAATATATAAAAACAGTCTAACTATTCACTAACCCCTGTAAAATATCAGCAATGAAAATGTTACTGTTAATTTTAAAATTACATTTCATATGCATAAACATAACTTCTGAACCTTTGGGAAGCAAATACATAAATTCTAAAATGTTGGAAAAAACATATTAAGATCTTAATTGTAATTTACATAATTCATACCTTATATATGTAGTAACCTAAAAGAATATTTTGAAGCCAAAATGGTTGTATTGATCGTACAACGTGCAAAGCTATTAAACCCTCAGTTTATTTTACTTTAACAAAAGCTTGAAGTTGTAGTATTTAAATAATAACAAAGTGGTACATCACTTGAAAAAAATCAGGCATGAAATTTTCTCAGTCAGTCAGTTCTACTTCAATTTACCTGCAAGAGGTGCATCTTTTAGAGGGAGAGCGGGGTCTTGTTTTTGTGTTGGGTGTACGCAAGCTGGGCTTTCACTGCTACTGAAAAACTGCAGACTCTTCTTCTTAGTCAAGTCATCTTTATATGTACATGCAAACTGAGACCTGATTAAGGGTTGTTTCATCTGTTAGGGATGAACAAAATTAGCCTTCATCCTTAAAATTCATTTAGGAAGTTATTCTGAATGGCTGTAGTGATAGTAGTATAATCTCCCCTCACCTTATTTATAATATGAAAAAAATTAAAACATCCTTACTTAAGGTGAAACACAGCATTAATGTACAAATAACAATATATTATAACTAATTTTAAAAAGCCTTAACAGTAAAATTCAGGTACTACAAAATGGTTGGTTTGATTTGTATACCAATCTCTCTTTTTAACAAGAGTCGTATTTGATCACATTAAAAGCCCAGTATAAACTTTCCTGTCCTAGGTTTTTCTTTTGTCTTGATATTTAGTAGCATCTGTTTACTATTTTGAGCAGCTGTCATGGTGACTATATCCGTCTAATGTCAAATCAACCCTTAAACAGAGCATTTGAAAAGTGGGTTCATCATCATATACAGTAGCATAACTAAGGGAGGGTAAGCAGGGCACCAGCCCTGGACACCAATTTAAATAGGACCCTAGAATGACTGTACCGAGGCAGGCCATATTGCAGCAGCAGCTGAGGTTACTTAGTACACGCTTCCCCTCCAGCATTTCAGGACACTAAAATTGCTAGTTACACCTTTGTTTACAAGTCGCTTTCATTAGTCTGAGCCTCCCAATCAAACTGAACCATGTCAAATGTGAAGTACAAGACAGTGCCCAGGAAGAAATCAGACAAAAGGTAATCTAGTATAAAGCTGAGCAAAATATACAATGTTTGATATTCTACCTTTATTAGATGAATTTCAAAATTTACAATCCTTCACAAAAAAAACCCTAAAAAAAATAAATCAAGGAATCTCCCTATAAAGGATTACGGTCAAAGGACTTTTCCAGCTGTTGTGTCACAAGTCATAAATGTCCTAGGGAAAGGGGGAGAAAGATCTGCATATCCTTATGAGAATTCGGCAGTACTCCAGAACACTATCTTATCTATCTGCAGTATACAGAGACAAATGAATTCCATCATGTAAACTAGACACCTGGCTAAATAGTTCAGCTGAATCAAATCAACTCTGAAAGCTAAATAAAAACAGCAATATGAACTCAATTACTCCAAATCAAGTTTGTTTTGTTTTTACCAACATGTGTTTCTTTTTCTGCATGTAACACTACCAAATCAACCTGAAATTTGAGTCAAGCTTTGTCTTGGTTCATTTGTCACCACTAATATAGATTCCACGGAGCAAATGCTGTCCTCCGTTGCATCTGTTTAATTAAGCAGACTTCAAAAGGAATAGAAAAGTATAGATAAGAACAAATGCTGGGGAGGTCTTGAACAGCCCTTACCTCTCTTTGCTGTGCTGGGTGTGTTACTACATTCCTCCTCACAGATACTCTGATCCCTGAAGCAATTCAATCTAAATCACAATACTTTGCATGCAAGAGAACTGGATTGTGAAGGATAGTTTAAAAGTAGATGCACAGGCCAGTGATCAACTCAATGCTAATAACGTGACTCTAGGAAAGAGAAATGGTCACTGACCATAACAATTTCCCTGCTCCCTACTGAATTGGCCAAAAGATTCTCACCACAGACGAATGGATGGGAATATAGAAATCTGAACCTGAACTGCATAAAACTCCTCCACAAAGGCAGAGGGGTGGAAGTGTGGAACTTGCCTCAAACCCTGGAGACGGATTGTGAGGGCCCTGAAACCTCTCCACCCAACAGTGAGTTATGTTTGTGTATTTTGTGCTGTATGTAGCTGCTCTTGTTAATATTACCCAATTGAAAATATCCCAATAAACAGGTGTATAGTTTGGAAGAACTTGCTTTGGCTTCTCTTGCACTTCTCCAGATAAATAAAAGCCCCTAGAGACATCCTGGGTGCAATGATAATTACTCTATGCTAGGACTTCTGGTTTAACAGCCTTATTGCTCCACAAATCATAAACAGACCCAGATGACTTTTGGCTAAGTTGGTGCTGCACTACTGATTCCAAAGAACAAAAAAGTTAATCCCCACTAGAGGAAATACTGCTTTTCAATACTCAAAAGGGACTAGATCTGTTTGGGTGCTTTTACATACATTTTTCAGAGTAGAATGGCACTTAATGTGCATTTGCCCTGTAAAAACTGATCTTGGGCAGTTCTACTGTTCTTTTTCACATGTAGATTTCCATAGTTCAAATTAGCTGCACCTTTTTCTCTTTGGACACCTCTTCCAAAAGAGCGACACAGTGCATGTATTTCCCTCAGGCCATAATTTCAAAATTTACCTGGCTTCTGGACTGGGTCTTTAGGTTGCTTTATTCCCTGTTCACACTGTTTCCTTTGTCTGTCAATGTCAAAGCCAGCTGACTCATATTTCCCTCAGAAGCTGTGATCCATATGACTGTAGAATAAGTCTAAAGAGCACAATTAAGGACTGAGCAGAGATACCCAAGTGAACCAGTAATACAGTATAGCCACATTACAATGACACTCCTCCCAGGTTAGTTAGAGCTGTAGAGAAGAATGTTATATTCATCTAGGTAGAGCACTATGCTACTGCATAGCTACTCGGGCTGTGCAAAGCTTTGGTCCCCGATTTGATTCAGCGGAGATTCAGCCCAATTCGGTGGCTGAATCTCCAAATCCAAACTGAATCAGAGGACCCTTTAATCTCTCCAAATCAAATCAGAATCCTCCGAATTGATTCAGAGACATTTGGACATAGACACAACTTTAAATGTTTTTTCTATATACTTCTAGGTAGCAGGTGGCTTATGAGTGCTGCAATGCTGGGGGTGCATGGAGTGTCCCACAGAAGCGCGGGTGGTTTCCCAGCACATTTGGCAGCAGACCTAGAAGTGGACCAGAAGCACTTCTGGTCCATTTCCAGCTCTGCTGGGGAATGCGCTGGAAAGCAACACCCCACCCCCCCCGGTGACTGGTGCCTCCTGGGTCTGAGGGGAGGGGGCACCTGGGGTCCTCCTGTGGCCAACTGCCAAGCCAGGGAGGCATGGGGGGGGGGGCCCCAGCATGCTCCCCAGCAGACCCAGAAGTGGATCAGAAGTACTTCTGGTCCACTTCTGGGTTCGCCACCAAGCACATGGAAGGCCTCTCCACATTCCTATGGGGCACTCCATGCACCCCAGCACTCACAAGCTGCACCTGCTACCTCAAGGTATGTAGAAAAAAACATTTAAAGCTGTGTCTATGTCCAAATTGCTGATTCTCTGAATTAGCATCGAATCTTCAGATTCAGCTGAATTGAATCAGGGACCACGATCTGAATCAACTCGAATCACTGTCCCCAATTCGGACCGAATCCAAATCGAATAGGACCTGCTTCGCACACCCCTAATAGCTACTGTTTCTGGAATTCCAGCTAGCTTGGGTCTCTCTCCTCAGAACTGTACTGTGCCATATAGACAACTCCACAGTGACACCAAGTAGATTTTGAAAGTCTGATTTATTCACAGAAAGATTAGGGATTATAGGAAGTTAGGGCTGGAGGTGATCACATGAAGTTATCTAGTCCAGCCCCCTACTCAAGATAAAATAATCCCCAAGTAAGCCATCCTAGTCAAGAATCTACTTACCTGCTCTTGAAAATTTCCAGGGACAGTGAATCTACAACCTGTCTAGGTAAATAGACTCCTACAAAAGACCCTGTCTCTACCTTTCTCTGTCTGATGTCTTAAGAGCTCTAAAATTCAGCCTAAATTTATGCTGTGGGTTTGCTGGACAACTGAAGTTCCAGGATAAGTATCC